CAGGCTGCCTCACCAGGCTGCCTCACCAGGCTGCCTCACCAGGCTGCTTCACCAGGCTGCTTCACCAGGCTGCAGAGGTGAATAGAGTTGGCAGCTGAATCACGAGTTAAGAACCTTTTACAATCAGGATGTAAAGAGAATAAACTAATTAATGAATGGGGGAGGGAGAACTTTAAACTGACCAAGTAACAGTGGTGAGTGCCTTTAATCCCAGCACTTAGCACCTCCGAATGGAGGAGGCAGAGGCAGGTGGATCTCTGTGAGTTCCAGGACAGCCTGGTCTACAGAGCGAGTACCAGGACAGCTATGACTACACAGAGACCCAGAGACCCTGTCTTGGAAATTTCTTTTTCCTTCTGGCAACACTGGGAATAAGTATCCCCTAAGGCCTGGAAAACACCAGGCAACATGAGCTCCATCACTCAGTTACACACCTGGGCTTTGTTTTCCAGTCAGAAGTATTACTAAAATGCCCGCAACCTCTAATTCATATTACACTTCAGGTAGGCCTTGAACTTGCCACCCTCTGGCCTGCCTTCCCTTCCAGAAGCTGTGATCACTGGCCTGTGTCACCAGGTTCAGTCTATTCATCTTATTCTTACTTTCTACCTAGATTATACACACCTCATGAAGATGACAACATATGCATGTAACTCCAATGCTCAGGCAGTTTTAGACCTTAGGAATACTGGGTAGGAGAGTGTGATAGAGGCCTGTATGGATTACAGTGAGAGCTGTCGAAAAACACCAGGGAGATGGCTCAGTTGATGAAACTCTTGCCACTTAAAGCACGAAGACTTGAATTTGGGTCCTTGGCACCACAGCCAAGCCAAGTATGATGGCAGCAACTTGGTGCTAGGGAGGCAGACCCAGGAGAGTTCTGGAATTAGCTTACCAGACAGTCTGGATACTCAGTGAGCTCCATGTTCAGTGAGACATCCTCTTTCAAAAACTCAGGTGGAGGAGCTGGAGATGGCTCGGTCATTAAGAGTACTTCCTCCGGGCTGGGCAGTGGTGGCAGACAACATAATCCCAGCACTTCAGAGGTGAGGCAGGCAGATCTTTGTGAGTTCAAGCCAGCCTGGTCTACAGAATGAGTTCTAGGACAGTAGGACAGCCAGGGCTACACAGAGAAACCCTGTCTAGAAAACGAAAACCAACCAACCACCCTAACCAAAAAACAAAAACAAAAACAACCAAAAACCCATTTTATGTGTGTTTGTTTTGTCTGCATGCCTGTTTGTGTGTGCAGTACCTGAAGAGGCCAGAAGAGGGCGTGGGACTCTCTGGAACTGGAGTTCTAGTTGGTTGTTAGCCACCACATGGGTGCCCAGACTCAAACCTGCCTCCTCTGCAAGAGAAACAAGAGCTCTTGGCTGCTGAGGCACCCCTCCTACCCCTCGTTTTGTTTTGAGACAGGGTCTCACTGTATAACCCTGACTGGCCGGGAATTGCCAGAGATCCGCCTGCCTCTGCTTTCTGAGTGCTGGGATTAAATGCGTGTGCCGTCACACACTAGACTAAGATTTATGATTCATGTGTATTTGCCTGTTTATACATGCACATGCTTGTGGGTGGCCATGACAGCAGGAAGAGGGTATTGAGTCCTCTGGAGCTGGAGTTACAAGCAGTTGTAACCATAGCTGGGTCCTCTGGAAGAGCAGGTAGTGCTTTCAATCACTGTACCACCACGTCCTCAGTGTGTGTGTGTGTGTGTGTGTGTGTGTGTGTGTGTGTGTGTATAGCTGGTCTTTTTGTTACTTTGTGGCTTCTTTTTCTTCCACCCTTCTTCACCTCCTTCTACAAGTTCACCCTCCTAACACTAGCTAGGAGAGGACAGAGGATGGAGAGGAGAGAGGCAGAGGTTTTGTTAGACTATTCCTGCTGATAAGAGGTGTCAAGTTCCTTGGGGCAAGTTTGACCTTTGCCTTCAGGATATCTAATTTCTTGTTCTTTCTGCTTTGCACAAGACTACTTAACAAGCCTTGACTAACAGCAAACAGTCAACGACTCAGCACCCCTCTCAGGGCCCTAGCATTTATATACCTGCTGAGAAGTCCCAGAACTCCAAAAAGCACACCCCTGCTAGAGCACAAGGCAGACACTAGCTGCTGCAGACAGTCTGAGGCGGCTCCATATCCCATACTTGGGATTAAAACAAAAACTGTGTGTCTGTGTGAGTGGATGTCTTCTTCCACCTTGTATCTTTTAAAATTACTACGACTACTATTATTATTTTACTTATTCACCTTACACCCTGCTCACTGCACCCTCCTGGCCAACCCCTCCCACAATCCCTCCCTCCACGTTTAGGTTTTTGAGACAAATCTGTCCTTGAATCTGGAGCTAATCTATTTTTCTAGACTGGCCAGCCAGCAAGTGGGACTCTCCCATCTCTACCTCCTGCACTGGTTTCACCACTGTGTTCTGCCTTGCCTGCCTGGTGCTTCAGCTGGGTACTATGAATCCAACTCAGGTGTTCACGTGGATGGTAGACATCTTAGAGGGTGAGTGCTGAGTCCTCATTTGCATGGACTTTATTTAAGAAAAAAAATTAGCAGGGAAGTGTTGGTGCACACTGTTAATCCCAGCGCTCAGGAGGCAGAGGCAGGTGGATCTCTGTGAATCTGAGGCCAGCTTGGTCAACAGGGTGAGTTCCAGAAGATAGGTTCTAGCAATCACTCATTACTTACTATGTACACCAGACTGGTCTTGAACTCACAGAGATCTGCTTTCCTCTGCCTCCCCAATGCTGTGGCAAAAGAAACTCTGAGACAGGACAGTGAGACTATGCCTCAAAGGAAGTGATCCAGACCAGGTTCCTGAGGATGACATCAGAAATTGCCCTCTTGTCTACACACACACACACATACACACATACACACATTAAATATGTTTTTAAAGATTTTATTGCCTATATGTATGTTTATTTCACATGCGTGTAGGTATCCAAGGAGACCAGAGGTGTTAGATCCACTGGAACTAACTAGTGGTTATGAGTCACCAGATATAGGTGCTGGAATGAAACTCAGGTCATCTGGAAGATCAATAAGCCACTGAACCAGCTCTCTGGGGGCCGTCAAATCAGTTTGTTGTTGTTTTTCAAGACAGGGTTTCTCTGTGTAGCCCTGGTTGTCCTGGAACTCACTCTGTAGACCAGGCTAGCCTTGAACTCAGAAAACCGCCTGCTTCTGCCTCCCAGTGCTGGGATTAAAGGCATGTGCCACCACTGCCTAGTAAATCAGTTTTTAAATTGCTGAATCCCAAGGCCTCTTTTTGGGTTCTCATCCTGTGCTGAAGAAAGCTGTATAATTAGCTCCTTTAAAGATTTGTGTGTCTGTGTGTGCCCAAATGTATGTTCGTGGGCCGTATTTATGCAGGTGACTCTGGAGGCCTGAAGAAAACACTGGAATTCCTGGAGCTGGAGTTATAGGTGGTTGTTTTTCCAAGACAAAGTTTCACTATGCAGCCCTAGCTGGCCTGGAGTTCACTCTGTAGACCAGGCTGGCCTTGAACTCAGAGCTTGTCTCTGCTTCCAGGGTGCTGAGATTAAAGGTGTAGTTTTGCCTTACTGTAGACTGCCCTCATTTCCCAGGCCCTTCAATGCTATTAAGCGCTATACTCGGTCCTCTAGCGTTTTGGCTCGATGCTGACACCTACTGGTCACGTATGGCTCAGCAGCCCTAACCTTGGCACCTACCTCCTGCCGGTACTGAAGGCTGGGGCAGTCTGTTACAATCTTATCTTCAAGGGCCTAAAGATGCTTGTATAATGCTGTTCTACTTATCTACTCGATGATCTTCAGTTCTTCCCTCACTGACTCCCACATTGAAATCTGGATTCTGTATGGTTCTCAGTACTACAAGAATATTAGGCAGCAAGAAAGAAGCAGACCGTTTGGGTGAAGGTGTGTGATCCGTCGTTGCCACTTCAGAGTTGGTGCTTCCTACAGAATTCCATTCCTTTTGACCTTTGTCTTGTTTCTAGGCTGCTCTTGGGACACTGGACTTCTTGGTGTCAGTGGTGATGAACCGGAGGTGGAGAGTAGGTAGGCGGGGCTTGGGGTGGGGCTAGACCAAAGGGCCTCTTAGGAGCTTCTCCATTCTGCTAGCTCTCAGAAACATCCAAGGCAAGGCTGGCAATCAGCACAGAGCAGGTGAGAGACTGGCAATGACAGAGGGCGGGTTTTGCGGTGACATTGACGGGATATCCCGACCCTTTCACCCTCACCTTTCTTTCCATTTTGTGAAACTCTCGCTTGTAGAATTCTTGGGTCTCCCCCTGTCTCCCCAGAACCATTTTAGTGTATTTAGTGGGTGGGGCAAGGCTATCTGAGAGCGAGGCCTGGCTTGGGATGGGGTTTGAGTCCAGAGACGAGGGATGGAGGTGCACATGGGCTATGAGAAGAGATTTAGAGATCTAGAGTATCTTCGGACATGAAAGTACGGGGACTCAAAAGTGAAAGTTTAGCTAGGCTAGAGGTTCATGGGGGTCACTTAGAGACTGGGACAAAAAGAGCGAGTGACATAGTTACCCTGAGAGGACTGGGGACCTAGTTGGAGATGGCAAAAGGGGCCATGGAGAGCTGGGTAAGGGGAGGACAAGTTGGGAAGGAATGCGGGCTCCTATGGAACAGTCACCTCCACTGTGGAGGACCGTCTAGGGGGTAAGGCAGAAAAAAATCAAGATGGCAGGTTCCCATTGGAGTGATCCGGTGCGGGAGAGAGGCCCCCCGCTATCCTCCCTCTGAGCACACTCCTATTTTCATTTGAGGGAGAGGGTGAGGTTGCTCCTCATTGCGGTCACCAGCCACATCCTGCAGAGCCGGGGAGGGGGAAGTAAGAAGCAAAACAACCAGAAGCAGCACAGTCAAGGACCACGTCGAGAAGACCCTGTCCTTAGGCACAGGATATACCACTAGGAAACCCTCTGCTCGGTCTAGTCAGCCTGAGACCACTACTGCCACCCCAGCCACCCTCAGCGGGCCGTGACTGGCAGCACTCCCTGTTGGAGAGTGACTTTGGACGGATTATTTGACTTGTAGCCTGTTTTTTTCCTCACAATTTGTTTCTGTTATTTATTATGTATATGTGTGAGCAGAGGCCAGAGGTGTTGGGTCTCCCTGAAGCTGGAGTTATAGGTGATCATGAGCATCTGTTTGTGAGCCGAGCCATCTCTCCCGCTCCTTGAAGCCAGTTTTCATCATTTACTAGGCAAGTTACTTAAGACCTTAAGCCTTGCCCAGAGGTGGTAGCACACACCTTTAATCCCATCACTTAGGAGGCAGAGGCAGGCAGATCTCAGTTTGAGGCTAGCCTGGTCTACAGAGCAAGTTCTAGGACAGCCAGGATTATACAGAGAAACCCTGTCTTGTAAAACAAAAACAAAAAATAATTCCTTTAGCATGGAGACGTCTCACTGTAAAATAAGGCTATCACCCTTATGTAGTTGGTAAACTGAGGCAGTTCATATCAAGCACTTGGCAAACAGTCGGTTCTCAAAAAAACAAAACAACAACAACAAAAAGTCCAATGTTCTATTTAAGATTCTGGGGACCCTATATCTCTCATTTCTTTTAAGACTTTATAGTACCCTCACTGACATGAGCTTTGGATCTCAAGCCTGGAAACACAGAGAGACGCTGTGCACCTCTCTCCACCCTCGAACAGCCTCCTGCCCTAAGACTCCAGCTATGCCCACACTCCTCCAGCCAGAGCTCTCCCTGCTCCTCCGGGCTGTTTTGGAGACGCAGATGTCTTGTTTACAGCACTAAAGGGAAAAAGCAGAAGCAAGGCCTACAGGATGGAGGGGCCCAGGGGAGAGGGAAGACAAAGCAGGCAGAGCAGTGGAGATGAGGAAAAGCCATTTCTCTCCTTTTTTCTCATGAAGCCTGTTGCCTTTTCTAGTGACTGACCACATACCGACCCCAAGCACCATGGAGCACTTCAGCTCAAAGAGTCTGGCACTACAAGCGGAGAAGAAGCTGTTGAGTAAGATGGCTGGTCGGTCCGTGGCGCATCTCTTTATCGACGAGACCAGCAGCGAGGTGCTAGATGAGCTTTACCGCGTCTCTAAAGAATACACGCACAGCCGGCCCAAGGCACAACGGGTGATCAAAGACCTCATCAAGGTAGCCGTCAAGGTGGCCGTGCTGCACCGCAGTGGCTGCTTTGGCCCTGGGGAGCTGGCTCTGGCTACGCGATTCCGCCAGAAGCTCCGGCAGGGCGCAATGACCGCACTGAGCTTTGGGGAGGTGGACTTCACCTTTGAGGCTGCTGTGCTAGCAGGTCTGCTCATCGAGTGCCGGGACATTTTGCTGGAGCTGGTGGAGCACCACCTCACACCCAAGTCACATGACCGCATCAGACACGTGTTTGACCACTACTCTGACCCTGACCTGCTCGCTGCCCTCTATGGGCCTGACTTCACTCAGCACCTCGGCAAGATCTGTGATGGGCTCCGGAAGCTGCTAGACGAGGGGAGGCTCTGAGGCTCCGGAGCTCAGCACACTGGACTTTTTTGGCAAAATGACTGACTGGGAAATGACACATCGGGCTCTCTAACCCTGCACAAATGCTTCTCAATCCCTTGGCTTCATTCTCTCCCAAGAGTGCTATTGACACCGAGGCCGCCCTCACCCACGAACTGCTGGTGGACTAAAGTAAGACTGAGGTGAGTGAGTGAGTGGTTCTCCATCCAGTTCCAGTAAAGGAAACAGCTGACTGAAGAAGAAGTGAAACTCAGATCCGCTTCTCCCAGGAGGGCCGCCCAGGACAGGGGATCCTCCTCCACAAACCCAAGGAAGGGGACCCCCTGGATCTCCTAGAGTTGGAGGCAGCATTTGGATACATACAGACATCCAGAGCTTCTAGAAGGAGCTGGGGGAAGGGAGGCACAGGGAAAATAAAACCACTAACACGTGCACAGGGCTCACTGTTTAATCTCTCGAGCTCCATACTCGGGCTAAACATGGAGGAGACGTCTAGACACCCCACTTATCTCACCTGGCCCCACTCCTCAACAGGAGACAGCAGACTCCTGGGACTACTGAGCCACCATGCCTACAAGAGACAAACTGTACTGCAGACCAGGTACAGGTTACAGATAAACAGGAAGTAAGGAGCAAGGCATAGGCAGGCTAGGGTGTGTAACAGACACTTCTGTAACTGTCCTCGAATCCAAAGCATCTTCCACTCCTTAGCCCCACCAGGCGCTGAGGAGAAGAGTGGGAAGAAGGGTGCTTAGTCAGTACCCACAGCCTTCTCTTAGAGCCGAGAGGTGGAAAGAGTCGTAGGGAATTCTCAGTTACAGCTGAGCCCTACCCTTTACCTTGGTAGTGGGGAAAGACTCAGCGCAGTCTGCCACTCTCTGTGGTGAGCTTCACGGACTCTCTGGCCTCGGTAACATGCTTCGATAGGAAGGTGGGAGAGGCCAGCAGCACCCGTCTTCACCTACAGTTCTGGGCTTCCCTATCTTCAGTGATATGGAAATCCCCCCCCCCTTTTTTTTCTCAGTTAAGAGGAGAAAGGAGTTAGGCATAGCAAATAAATATTACTTCAATATAGCACCAAATAAATTAGGTAAGATCACTGGAGATGGGGAGGGGTCTCTGCTTCCCTGCTCTAAAGCCAGGGAATGGTCAAAGGGACAGCGAGGGCTTAAAAGAGTCTTTGAATCTAAAGGATTACTTTAGATTCAGCCCAAGAACTGGAAAGAGGTCTTCTCCCAGCCCCTATGCTTGCCAAAGTGTCCCCAGCTGAGGAAATCTTGACAAAGAGGCTGGGCAAGATGGCTGGAGAGGAGTGAGGCAGGCTGGGGAGCTCTGCTCTTGAGCCTCACCTCGCACTCCTCTCCTCCCTCGAGCTACTCCTTTGCTATCAGTTCTGGGGACATCAGAGTTTGAAGATTTCATCCTCCTGGTCCCGCAGTGTCTGGGTCCGAGATGTCCGGGTGAGGGGCACAGGACCTAGGACTGCTCGCTGCTGCATCCGAGGGGAGCTAGGGTAGAGACCTGTATCCTCCTCGGGTACCCTGCAGATGAGGGAAGGGAAACAGAGCACCGAATCAAGGCAAGAACCTGAGAGTGGACCAAGTGAGTAGGTGGGGGCGGGGAGGGATAGGGGCTGCCTTCCTTTGTTTCACAAGTTGGATGGAGTCTCAGTATCTTCTGGAAAGCTCTTATTCCTGATGCTTCTTCACAGTCCTTACACTAGTGAGTGAGAACACAGAATCCACAGAACCTATTTCCCACCACCTTACCCCATTCCAGATGCCACTGGCTCTTTCTTTCTTTGGGGACCACATGGGGAGAAAGGCATGCACTTGCCACACCAGACACTTTGGTTACCCATTAGTTTGTGACTAGCTAAAAGAAGGGGGTCTCAGAAGGGAGTTACAGGGAGCAGCTGGAGACTCACCCACTTTCCCCTTTCCTCAACTTCTGGGCAGCAGCCTTCTTTGACAGTCTGATCTGTGAGTCAAGCTTCTTAAGGAAATCAGAGGCAGAAAGGTCCTGGCTAGGTGTGGAGGCTTCCTGCTGAGGCTTGACATTGGGCCGACCTGAGCTTGACCTTTGATCCTTCCTCTTCCCTGAAGATGAACCAATCTCATCTTTACTTGGGCGTACCTCTTCCTCTCCATCATTTTCCTCCTCAGAATCCAAACCATTAAATAGGTCTCTGGGCTCTGTCAGGATGGGGATGTAGAGTGTTTTCTTCAGGAAGATGGAGTCATTAGTATAAAGGCGGTTTGTACGCTTAATCTGTTCCATCTTAAAAAAAAAAAACAGCCAAAATCAATGTCTGGCAGTAAACTTCACCAACCAAACAACACCTACAGCTTTCCCCTTCTCTCTCACCATGGGGCCAGGCGACTCTCAAAACAGTTCTGGCTTAGTATCCCAAACTTTTATTATTGGTGTGTGTGTGGTTGAAGACACATGTACTTGGGGGCAGGGCCTGAAGGCTGCTATAGGGTTTCTTAAGCATTCGTGGCAAGCACTACTGAGTTACCAGATGAGCCATCTTCCTAGGCCACCAACCTAAAGTTTTAAAGTAACTGTACAATTTTATTTGACTCCATAAAAAACTAGCTAAAATACAAAGAGGTGATATATTAATCTTGTTTTATAATTTTCATACTTTTTAGTCTTAGGATACCTTCACATTTTAAAAAACTACTGAGGTGGGGGCTGGAAAGACAGCTCAGCGGTTAAGAGCACTGACTGCTCTTTCAGAGGTCCTGAGTTCAATTCCCAGCACCTACATGATGGCTCACAACCATCTGTAATGGGATCCAATACCCTCTTCTGGTGTGTCTGAAGACAGCTACAGTCTGTAACTCCAGTTCCAGGTGATCTTCTGACCTCTATGGGCACCAGGCATCCCCATGGCACACAGATATACATGTAAACAAAACACTAAAAATAAATTGTAAATATAATATTTAAAAAGCTAAGCCAAGTATGACAGTGCTTTGCTTTTTTTTTTTTTTTTTGAGACAAGGTTTCTATGCGTAGCCCTGGATGTCCTTGAACTCACTCTGTAGACCAAGTTGGCCTCAAATTCAAAGATCTACCTGCCTCTGCCTCCCTCTCCCCCCACCACTTTTGTCCCCCCAGTGCTAGGATTAAAGGCATGTGCCACTACTCCCAGCTAATAGTGCCTATCTCTAATCCCAGCACTTGGAAAGCAGAAACAGACAGGCAGGTCTCTGAGTGTGAAGCCAACTAAACTACATACTGAGACCTTGGATAATAATAAAATAAATGAATGAATCCTGGTGGTCTAGAGCTGTAGCTCCATAGTAGAACGCTAGCCTAGTGTGTACAGACCTAGGCTGGACCCCTAGCGGACCTCCAATAACAAGTAAATAACCGTCTCACATATGCTGTCTCATACTCGCGCCCACCAACGCCACATGTAACTGTTCTTCCTCTTTCGTGCCCACATATCTTTCTCTTGATATCTAGAAAAAGGAATCTATTAACCCTCTAGCTGGCATAGCAACTTCCTATGGCTCCTCGTTGAATCCAAATGAGGATTCAAGGACTGTGTCTATTTAACCCCCACAGGAAGTGTCTAGCCCTGTCTCTCTTCTGCATTCTACCACCGAACTACACTTTCAACTCCAGTTCCCTAGGTCTTATTATATGTGGAGTTGTCCTGGAACTCTGTATCCCTTTGACTTAGTGTCCTGAGGACCAACATCAGTCTGGCTTAGACCACCAAGCCTGGCTTTCAGACTTTTTTCTTTTCTTTTTTTTTTTTTTTTTTTTTTTTTTTTGAGACAGGATTTCTCTATATAGCTCTGGCAGTGCTGAAATTCACTCTGTAGATCAGGCTGGCCTTGAACTCAGAGATCCCTTGTCTCTGCCACTAGAGTGTTGGGATTAAAGGGGTGCACTGCCATGCCCTGGCAGCTTTCAATCATCTTTTAAACTCCCATGTGATTGAGACTATGCCAGAGTTTAGAGGCATAAAGTTGAAAGGAAACGAGTTCAGCTCTTAAAGAGCTTGTAGACTGCTGGAAGACAAGGATACAAGCAACTGGACGGCACAGATTTGTAGGGAACACAGAGGGGGAAGTCTCTAGGTCTTCAAGGCTCATGGTGATGGTACTCCTAAACCTGCCCCTCAGAGTGTGGTTGTCACACTCCTAATCTCAGCAGTCACTATGTAAGAACACCGGATGTTCCAGGCCATACTAACAAGAAAATCCACCCTCCCCTCAGCCCCCACTCCCACCAAAAAAACCCACATCAAGTAATATCTACTCCCACTTCCAAGCAAACATTAATAGTTCTGGATCTCCCACACCTTGTGAATATTCTTTACACCAGGGTTTCTTCTCTACTCCTCATGAGAATTTAAATTACACAAGCACATTGACAAACGTATGCTTTGTCTCCAGAAAGGGTTGCCTATGCTTTAGGGAGAGCAGCACGGGGATTTGTCTAAATCCAACATTTGTTTGTATGTGGTAAAACAGGATATACACAAGAAGGCTGAAACTTTAATGCAAGATTTTTTTATGCCCATCAAACCTATCCTAGGAATGACCTGAAATACTTGAAGTATGTAGAGGGTATTTGTTTTGTGCCTCTGCACAAAGAAAACACAGCCCTGGAGTGGAAAGAACTACAGACAGGCACCTTAGGAGTTCTACTAACAGTCAGCCCTTCCTTACCTGCTGTAAAGGTTTAGTCACTACATCCCCCCCCCCTTCCCCTCATGGCTAATAGTATGGTCTTTAGAGTCAGACTCCTCTGAAACCTTACTCTAACATTCAAGTGATTGACCTTGATCAAACTAGTTTATCAGTCTTAAGTTGATAGGTACACAAGGTCCGGCTAATGGCTGTAAGCCCCGCCCCCTCACCCACCTCCCGCACAATCCACAGGAGCTGCTCCTCCCACTGGGATGGTCTGATCTGTCTCAATAGTGCTACACTGAAACGTGAAAACAAAATAAGAAAGAAAAAAAGAGACTATAATATAATTTGAATAATATCAGGGGAGGCTGCTTAGAGGGTCACCCACTTTCTCCTGGGGACTATCTTAATCCTGGAAGACTCACCGTCACCCCATATTTGAGTGCTAATCCAGCCAGGGTATCTCCAGGCTCCAACTGATGCTCTAGGCGTCTTTCTCTCACCGGGGAGCAGGATGATTGCACCAGGCTTCCATAAGAACGAGCACGGCTCCCATGCAGCAGCCCTGACCCCCCGAGGGGAGGCTGTCTAGAGGGAGAAGCCATCTCCTCACTGCCAAGACCTAGGGTCACAACTGAGGAAAGCCCAGCTAAGTAACCAACAGTGATGGCCGAACCCAAGGAATGGATATTCAGAGAACTCGCTCTCTCTTCTCTCGTCTTTCTTCAGTCTCCCCACTCTCGAGAGACTACAATTCATCGACCTCCTCTTGCTGCTTCTTACAGAGCTTGGAGTTACAGTCCGTATCTTAAGAAGTCTGCCAGGCCGGTTACATTTCTCTTTCCTCAAGCCCCTTACCCAGAAATATCTTCCCTGAGTTGTCAGTCGCTGACCCGGTTGACTTTCGACGCCCCCTCCCCAACTCCTCGCAAGCCTGATCTCTGACCTTTGAACCCTAGACACATTCATCAACACTCTTCCCTCAGTGTATCCCCACATCCAACAGTCGGGACGCCGGGAGCCCCCACATCCTCTCAGTTCCAAATAAGGCCCACCCCAGGTAGGTTGTGGTTGAAGAGGACGAGTCTGTGGACTACAAGAGTTTGCAGTATATAGTCCACTGAGATCCCCGAAGCCTCGCTCCACATCAGGAGGGTCCCACTCTGAAATTCCGGCTCCACATATAGGATCTTGGGTCTCCGAACACCTGGATCCTTCGAGATGCGAGGGCCTGGGTCCAGGTGAGCGGTATCCTCGTCAAAAAAATAAAATAATAAAATAAATAACCAAAAGACTTCATTTCCCAAAAGGCACAGCGTCCTCAAAGTATCATAGGAAATGCAAGCCCCCTCAGGGTGCTGGAGGCGGGTCTTCCGGCTCGCGCGATGCATGCGTGAAAAAGCATCGCCGGAAATACAGACTCAACCAGAAAGAAACCGGAAGTAGAGAAGGCGATTGTTTACTCTTCCTACGGTGGCCCAAAGGAGCAGCGAAGTAGGCGTAGGAGAATTTATCATATTCTCACAGTCGCGATGTCTTTTAAGAGGGAAGGGGACGACTGGAGTCAGCTCAATGTGCTCAAAGTAAGCCCTAGTGAGGGTCTGATCACCTTCAGCCGCTCTGTTGTTTTGTTTTGTTGCTCTAACGACATCTAGGGGAGGAAGTTAGGGGACCAGAACTGAGTGGTGACCCCTTCTTCTACTCTGTGATCTGCATGGCCCCGTGTCATTTGACTCCTTCTCCATATTATTTCATTTCCATCCGTCCCTCTTACTCATTTCTCCTATCCTGCACCCTGCAGAAACGGAGAGTTGGCGACTTGCTGGCTAGTTACATCCCTGAGGATGAGGCACTGATGCTGCGGGATGGACGGTGAGAACGAAGAGTGGATCAAGCCTGGGGATTCGGGAATCAGAGGCTCAACAAACTTTTGTTTCTAAGGAGTTCAGGAGTATAGTAGGATTCTTTGGCTTGAGGTGAAATGGAAGGGGTGGAGATCGGGAAACCTGGGAGTTAGCTGAGTGCTGTGACAGAAGTAAGACCTACTCACCATAGCAAGAACAACCCGACCGCAGGCTCTCGAACACAACACACACACACTTATCATTCACTTCTCTTCGTGTTTCTCTAGCTTTGCTTGTGCCATCTGCCCCCATCGCCCAGTACTAGACACCCTGGCCATGCTGACAGCCCACCGTGCAGGCAAGAAGCATCTGTCCAGTAAGTATAAGAGAAATTGGGAGGGCGGGGGATAGAGAATAAACTCTTGAAATTTTGGCAAGCCACCAGGCATTGTGCTTCTCATTCCTCGCTTTTCTTTTCAGGTCTGAAGCTTTTCTATGGCAAAAAGCAGTCAGGCAAGGGAACAGAGCAAAATCCAAGACAGCAGAATGAACTGAAGACAGAAAGCAAAGCTGAGGTGAGAGGGCATCAGGTGTTGTTTAGACAGGGCTATACTGCACACAACAGGCTTGAGGGGACTTTTGCTTCTTAAATTTTTTTATTTGTTTGTTTTCAAGACAGGGTTTCTCTGTGTAGCCCTGGCTGTCCTGGAACTCACTCAGTAGACCAGGCTGGCCTCAAACTCAGAAATCCTCCTGCCTCTGCCTCCCAAGTGCTGGGATTAAAGGCGTGAGCCACCACTGCCCGGCCAGGGACTTTTGCTTCTAACAGCTCTAATTCTGTCTCTTCTCTTCATCACCAGGCTCCTTTGCTAACCCAGACTCGAATAATCACCCAGAATGCTCTGCACAGAGCTCCCCACTATAATAGTTGCTGCCGGAGGAAGCACAGGTAGGTGGGATGGGAAAGCCAGGAGTGGAAAAGGGTGGAAGGTAGATGGCTTTTAAGTTATTACTCTCCAAGTTATATTCTGAGAAATAGTAATTTTGTGGAAATGTTGCTTTTAAAAAATGATGCTTTAGCCAGGCAGTGGTGGTGGACGCCTTTAATCCTAGCACTTGGGAGGCAGAGGCAGGTGGATTTCTGAGTTTGAGGCCAGCCTGGTCTACAGAGTGAGTTCTAGGACAGCCAGGGATACACAGAGAAACTCTGTCTCAAAAACAAAACCAAACAAACAAAAAATAATGATGCTTTATTATTTTAAAATAAAATTTTAGGAAATGGAAAATTGTGCCATAATCTTACTTAAAAATAGTAACATTAGGGCTTGGTGAGATGGCTCAGTGGTTAGGAATACAGGGGGCTCTTCCAGAGGTCTTGAGTTCAAATTCTCAGCAACCTCGTGCTAGCTCTCCACCATCCGTGAAGGGATCTGACACCCTCTTCTGGCATATAGATGTACATGCAGACAGAGTACTCCTGTATTTTAAAAAATGCATAAATAAGTACATTAAAAAAGATAGAATAGTAACATTAGCAGGGCATGGTGGTACACTTTTTTGTTTGTTACTGAGACAGGGTCTCTCTTTGTAACCCTGGCTGTCCTGGAACCCTGCTCTTTAGACCAGGGTGGCCTCATATTCACAGAGATCTGCCTGCCTCTGCCCCTCAAGTGTTGAGATTAAAGGTGAACACTCCTATGCTTGGCTTTTGGAAATCTTTTTTTGTTTGTTTGTTTTTTGTTTTTTTTGAGACAGGGTTTCTCTATGTATCCCTGGCTGTCCTGGAACTCACTCTGTAGACCAGGCTGGCCTCGAACTCTCGAACTCAGAAATCCACCTGTCTCTGCCTCCCAAGTGCTGGGATTAAAGGCCTGCGCCACCACTGCCCAGCGGCTTTGGGAAATCTTAAGAAAAAAACTTAGAACTGTGTATTAGAGTTCTCTAAAGTTACAGAACTTATGGAATGTCTTGATATAATGAGGGAATATATTATAGTGACTTACAGTTTGTAGTCCAACTAACCTAACAATGGGCAGCTGTGGACAGGAAGTCCAAGAATCTAGTAGTTGCTCAGTCCCATGAGGCTAGTTGTTTAAGCTGGTCTTGTGTAGAAGTAGGTTCCAAAGATGTTCTGGCAAGTAAGTGAAAGATCTCCATGCCAAAATCAAGGTCAGAAACTTGTGTCTTCCAGCCTCAAGATCTAGATCACCGGTGTGCCCTCCAATTCTGGATTGTAGTTAATTTCAGGCATAGTCAACTTGACAACCAAGAATAGCCATTACAAACTATTAAGTTAGTTTTTCTTTAAATTCCTTTTTTTAATTTTATGTGCATAGGTGTTTTTCCTGCATATATGTCTGTGTGAGAGTGTCAAAGGTGGAGTTAGAGATACTTTTGAGCTGCCATGTGGGTGCTGGGAATTGAACCCAGGTCCTCTGGAAGAACAGCCAGTGCTCTTAACCACTGAGCCATCTCTCCAGCCCCAAGTTTTCTTAAGTTCCTAATTTCAAAGTCTTTCATATGTAGAATATTTAAGATCTCAGGAACTGGAGCTAGGCAGTGGTGGTGCACATCTTTAATCCCAGCACTTGGGAGGCAGAGGCAGGTGGATCTCTGAGTTTGAGACCAGCCTGGCCTACAGAGTGAGTTCCAGGACAGCCAGGGCTACACAGAGAAACCCTGTCTCAAAAAACCAAAAAAAAAAAAAAAAAAAAGAAGAAGAAGAAGAAAAAAAAAAAAGAAATACTGTCTCAAATATCAAACAAAAGTTGAAAGGAAATCAATTTCAAGCATTTCTCTTAGAGCTTGGGAGGCATGGGGAAGCTACTGCTTTCCTTTACTTGATTTTACAGGCTTTGGTTCTTTTTGGCCCAGACCAGAAGCCCCTGCTCCGTGTGTCTCCAGTTCTCCTTTGCCAACTCCAGAGGTCGAACTCCAGAGTGCAAAGATCAGTAAGGAACCTGAGCCTAGGGAGAGATCAGATGCCAAAGACCCAGCAGCTCCCGTGGCCTCTGCACCCATGAGCCCCACAAAACGACGAGTCTTGAACCATTACCTCACCCTTCGAAGGTGAGCACGATCTCGTTCCTCGGGTTTCTTCTCCTCCTCCCTCCCCCCTCCCTTTCAGACCAATCCAACTGCTTTTTTTTTAATCAGTAAGTTCTTCAAAAATTTTATTTGCGCCGGGCAGTGGTGGCGCACGCCTTTAATCCCAGCACTTGGGAGGCAGAGGCAGGCGGATTTCTGAGTTCGAGGCCAGCCTGGTCTACAGAGTGAGTTTCAGGACAGCCAGGGCTATACAGAGAAACCCTGTCTCGAAAAACCAAAAAAAAAAAAAAAAAAAAAAAATTTATTTGCTTATTTATTTATTTATATAGGGGCACACTTATGTAATTCTGAGGGCAGCTTTCAGGCGTGGTTCTTTCTTTCTACCCTATAGGTTCCTGGGATGGAATTCAGCACCATGAAGCTTTTCCATAAACCTCTTCCCCGACCAGTTTTTTTTTCTCTCCTATTTGCAGCTCTGGATGGGTCCCAGATGGACAAGGTCGATGGAAAAAAGATGAAAATGTTGAGTTTGACTCTGATGAGGAAGAGCCCCCTGATCTTCCTGTGGACTAGTAATAATACGCCCTTTCCCATTTGTCCTACAAGTAAACTGCAGTGGGTCCGGGGAGCACACTGATTCTTGTTCCATCTTAGCATTTCAAGTCTGCTCCTTCTCAGGCTGGCCACTCCTTCCCTACAAGGTACATGGCTCCCCATACTTCTGCCCCCTCCCCCACTTTCTCTCAAAACCTTGCCAAGCGTCAGCTGCATTCAGCACGGTGCCCTATTAATAAGTCTGTCAGAAAGAGGTCGCTGCCCTTCATGGAGTCTGACTCCTTCCCCACCTTCACTCTGAGTCCTTTTCTCACAGATCACATGTGGACTGTGGATAGGCACTAAGGGGCTCTGGTCACCTCTGTCTGCACCTCTGTCAAAGAGGACTGAGGCTGAGTACCCTGTGGAGAGACTAAAGCCTTTGGCAGATTTATGGGGAACACGACAGGCAGAGCTCCCCCTCCTCCTGGTAACCTGAACCTCCCTGCCTGCTGATCCCCAGAGTATAAATAATCTCTTGATGAACTGGCAGTAACCCTTGGAGGGTAGCGCCAAGATTCCCACCCCAATCCAGGCAAGGAGACAGGCGGCGTGAACAAAAGGGATTTTATTTACAGGAAAGGAGAGAGATGAGGATCTATGTGTCCCAGGCTCTCATCTCTTGTTGGTAAAAGGAAGGGTGATGTTATCTCTTCTTTTGCTGACGACCTGGAAAGGAAGAGTGAAGAGAAGAACGGTAAACAGAGCTCCATCTGTTGCTTTGGCAAGGGTGTGTTTCTTCCCGTTCCTTGGGCAGACTCATAAGGTGCTGCCTTGGGCCACCTGATGGGCCTGTTCCATGTTGACAAAACAGTCAAGAATGCACACCTGAAAATAAAAGAACTCTAGAGGTACAATCATGCCAAGCCCCTACACACACTCTGTAGGTGTGGATCTGGGGGTGAAAGACTTTTTTGTCCCCCTGATATTCAGCTCCACATGTGTTTGCCACCACCCAAGCATTTGTCACCAGATATGCCTTCGAGATCTACACATTTCAGCACCTGCCCTCTCCTCTGCACGGGGTCTGCAATTACTCACGCAGCTCATTATTCCGGGTCATGGCGTGGGCTGCCCGTGCTCGTGGTCCTTGTTGTGTAAAGTGGTACCCAAAGCGGACAATAGACGGACACTGCTCGAGCACGGTGGCCATCTCCATCTCTACTGCATCACCGGGCCACTGGCGCTGGAGGATGGATGGAGGGATGAAAGCCATCAGACATGTATGGCAGTTAACCACCCTGGCCCATGGGCCTCTGGAAAGTTAAAGAGGCTTGTAGAGAGTCCTGATTTGGCTCCCCTCCCTCAGACAATAAGCTGTCCATAGAGAAACTCAATGAGTGTTATCTGAATGAAGGCCGGGGAAAGGGATGCTGACCTGGTTATCTACACGGAGCTCAGTGAGAGTAGCGTTTTCCCGAACTGCCTTTAGCACAGCCATGAGCCCTGTGCTGCTGATGAAGTTGGATTCGATGTTCAGGCTCTGGAGACTGCGGTTCTCGCGCAACATGTCAGCCACCGCCTGGGTGGTAGGGACTCATGTTAGGGTTAGGGAAAGGGGACAGTCCCACAGGTGACTGTGGAGAGACAGAAGGGGAGCAGGAGGAAGCAACTCTTTGAAATTACTTGAGGAACTGAGGCAGGAGGAGTAAGTTACTGGTGGAATGGAAAGCATTAGAGCAGCTTATTTAGGGGGAAATGACCTCGAGCCTACAAGAGTTGTGAGCCAGAGTAGTAACAGTAGGGAGGTTGAGGGCTGCCATAAGAAAACATCAGGGGATAACACTTCCTAGTGTGACCCTTAAGACAGCCCTTGCCAGGGGTGCACGCCAGGGTCTGAGAAGAGGACTGAGGATGTCCGCTAGCCTTACATTGGCGATGGGGTCACCACTCTTTGTGGCCACCAGACTGAAGCTCCGGACATAGGTGTTAGTCTTCATTGCTTCACACAAGTCACTTAGCACAGGTATTGGGATGTCCTGAGGGGGCACAAGGGATGGTAGACTTAAGGACTCATTCGTCAGTAGCTATTCCAGTTTCTTTTAGGGGATGGGACTCAGATACCTGGATATTATTGAGGTTCACCTCCTCCAGCTCTTTGTCATTGCTTCGTACCCTCTTTAGCATCTCCTCAATGTTTGTGGGGTTTGGGGGTTCATCTGGTACTGGCTTATACTTGTCAGGTTGTACTACACCTGATGAGGAACAGAGCAGAAAGGGAACCCCAACATATCCCTCACCATACCTCCCCATTGGTCCTCTAAACCTTCATGCACCATTTGCAACCTCTTAGCCACTGGCCTGCCTCTGGAGAGCGCTCAGGGGTGAGGGCGGCCATGCTTCCTAGTACACTCACTGCCTCTGGAGAGCGCTCGGGTGAGGGCGGCCATGCTTCCTAGTACACTCACTGCTAATGCCTTCGGTGTTGCAGATCTCTCCACTGCAGATGGCGTCATAGTATTGCTTGTTGCTCATCAGTGTGTACATGCCCAGGATCGCTAGTGAGAGTAAGCAGAGGGGCACAGGAGGTGAGGTGTCTGCGCAGCCCTGCCTCTTGCCTCCCTCTGCTAAAGCAGTTTTAGAGCCTGGCCTTCCACTCTTGCGGAGTTTCTCAACCTCCCTCAGCTCCAGGAGTCTCTTCCATAAACCTGCTGTGGCAGTGACTTCTAAAACATGAGAGGGCTCAGAAGGCCCTTAAGAAGCCCTGAGAGGTGATCTACAGTGAAGCTCCTCAGCCAGTTTCAGACAGAACAGTTCCACTTTCATCTGCCCTCACAATCCCTGTAAAGCTGCTCTTAGATGAGCCAATGTACATGCAAAGAAGAAAAGTTAAAAAAAATCCTTGCCTGGGCCATGTAAGTGAATGCCTTTAATCCCAGCACTCAGGAGGCAGAGGCAGGTGGATCTCTGTGAGCTTGAGGCCAGTCTAGTCTACAGTATGAGTTCTAGTACAGCCAGGACTACATAGAGAATCTCTGTCTCAGAAAAAAAGAAAGAAAGAGAGAAAGAAAAAAAGAGAAACTACTGCCGGAAGGTTTCTTCGACATTGTGTCCTGGTTTAGGCCTTTCCTAGTCGTATGTCCTATGTCAAGTTTAGGATGCCACAAGCCCCATCCTCCCTTCTTCAACATCCCGCAGCTGCTCACCTGCAATGTCACACATTTCAGCATCTGTAGCATGGGACAGTGCTTCCTCCAGCTCAGGCTCCAGCGTAATCTGCTCCTGTGCTGGGATTTCTCTCTTAGGCTGAATAAAGGGTTTTCCTGATAGAGAGATGAAAGACAGTTCAGGTAGAGGTAATTTCTTCCAAGATGGCAGCTCTACCTTCTTTACCTTTTCCATATGGGGTCAGACTAAATCACCAGTGTACATCAGAAAGCCTAAATTTTGTATATGTGCAGGACTCTTTGGTCCTTTCATCCCTCCTAAGAATTGAAGACTACAGACTGGTGTGGTGGCAAATGTCTGTAATCTCAGCATTTGGCAAGCTAAGGTAGTAGGACTGCTAGTTCAGGGTTAACCTCTGGGCTACAAAGGAGAATCTATCTCAAAAATCAAAAAAATTGAAGAGAACAAATTAGCACACAGCTGTCCAAGACCTGAGTCCCTGACAGATAGCTTCTGGAAGCAGGGAGGGAGGCCAACAAGGAGGCACAAGAGACAACCGTTTGGCTCCTGTGGGGCATAGATGTTAGGTGCCCATACCCTTCTTCTCGCCAGTGTAGGGCACCAAGTCGTCACGCTCTTTGACTTCTAGCGCCTGTTGCTCCAGGTACTGCAATAGGGCATCTCTGTCTAGTGGCCCTGTCGGACTCTTCTTTGTCTGGTCGCGTTGCCTCAGTCCAGCTGGCAGGAGCATGTTCTTAGGGATGAGTTTTGGGGAACAAATCAGGTACTCTCCAGACATATTCTCTGGTCCTTTTGGGATTTTAGGCTCTGTTCTCAGCCACCCAGTGTTTACTCCTTCCCACATATGAAGGGATGCCCTGGGCCCTGTGCTCCTACCTCAGGATCCATTTCTTGTAGCTCACAGTCCAGCTGTTCTAGCTCCTCAGGGCTCAAAGTCCTTAGGATCTCATCTTCATCTATGTCTCTGTATTTCTCCAGTTCCTTCTGATAGGATGACATGGTGGCCCCTACCCCCTCCCCACGGTGTGACACTCACAGCCTGGGGGGATATGGGAAAAGTTGTTGGACGTGGACACTGAGGGCACAAAAAGTCCAGCCATAGTTAGAACACTGACTGAGATACCTTGGAGGCTAGAGTCTACGGGGCTGGGAAATCAGATAGTTCACTGTTAGTTCCCTCCCAGTCCCTGCACTTCCCAGCCATTCTAGATGGGGATTCTAGTCTCCAGGCTGGGTTTGTCCACCCACAGTGTGATAGAGAAATCCTGGCAGCACCCTCCCCTACAACCTTACCCGGCACCGTCTCTTGCCCTGACACAGCTGCTGGAGGCCCTGCCAGCACAGCTGGCTCCATGCCCAGTTCCTATTGAAAGGTAGGGGGGTGGGGGTGGCAGAGAGCTTCAGGAAAATTCCTCCTCTCTTCCCATTACCCAGGCCTGTTGGAAACTGGTAAGCAAGGAGGCTTGGCTGCAATAGAGTGGTCGCCTCTTATGACACCCTCACTTCCTCCTTCATTGTAAAGGACCAACATCTCACTTTCTGTGTTTGCTAAAAGTCTAAATCGGAAGGGAAAGTTAAGGCTTAGAAGCTGGGGCACTTCCAGATTGGGGGAAGGGCAGTGTGGCCTCAGAAGGCATTTGGTTCCCATAATCTGTCACCAGAAAGGTGACACTGGAACCCTGGGTAAAAAAAAAAAAATGTCTTCTAAATGAGGAGGTGGGGTGTTGAAACTTGTACAACCTTTCAGTGTGAAAAACACACTCTGAGCTCTAAATACACACCATGCTTAACATGGAAGGTGCTCTTGAGTGTGAGACACTGACAACAAAGCTACAGAGTCAAGACAGAAACATACACAGCGGGACACAGCAGAGAGAGACATACCAGCTCACTTCCCCTAGGCCCACTCTGCCATCTCCCACCAGGCTCTCACCCCCTAAGACCCCTCATTCCCACCTACCAGTCCCAGTGGTCACCTCTCACCTCCCCTTGTCAGTTGGTCCGTCTGTTCTACTGGGGCACTGTCCGGTCAGCAGGAGGAGTCTGGTGCCGGGGGAGCGTGGGGGAACAGTGAGCTCAGCATTTTATTATTTTAGCTCTGGCCAGGTGGGGAGTGGTGGGAGATCACATATACACAGACCCCATACCTTGCCCAGCCCTGAGAGCCTCTAGTGGCCAGTATCAGCCATGACACCTCTTTTCCTGAAAGCAGAGTCCTGCAGTGGAGAATCAATTGACTCCTACTGTTGGTAGGTGTGACAGGACTGCTACAAGACAGCAGCCTGAACTGCATGGTGAGCTCAAAGCCTTGTAGTTTTTTTAAAAAAAAAATTTTTTTTAAAGGGGGAGAGGGCACATGCCTTTAATCACAGCACTTGGAAGGCAGAGACAGGCAGATTTCTGAGTTCAAGGTCAGCCTGGTGTACACAGAAAATTCCAGGACAGCCAGAGCTACAGAGAAACTAGGTCCTGAAAAACCAAAAAGGAAAGAAAGGAAGGAAGGAAGGAAGGAAGGAAGGAAGGAAGGAAGGAAGGAAGGAAGGAAGGAAGGAAGGAAGGAAGGAAGGGTGGAGAGCTAGAGACATCTCAGGTGGTCAGACTGCTGCACAGTTGTGAGGTCCCTGCACCCACATAAAAGCGTAGCAGATACAGGAACATCAGGGTCTTGCTGGCTCCTGATAGCCTAGAAAACATGAGCTCAGGTTGACAAAGAGAGCCTGTCTCAAAGGGATAGGTAGAATTACAGACGATACTGCCTAGCCTCTGCATAGGCACACCACCTGGCACGTGTACACACACGCACACACACACACATACACAGAGTGTAAGAATTTTGGTATTTAACTTTAGTCGACAGACTACTAGAGTTAAATTGGATAACCTTGGTAAGTATAATAAAAATATGATAGACTTGAATGAAGGCATCTTTATTAAGCCCACTACTTTGTAAATATATGCTATTAAAAAAGAATACGCAAGAACTGTAATTTGCACCTCTAGGCCTAGCACTTGGAAGGTTGAAGTGGAAGGCTTGCTTGAGCTCAGGAGTCTGAAATTAGCCTGGATGATTTAGCAAGTACTTATGTTTTACACACACACACAGACACACACACAAAGGGGGACTGGAGAGATGGCTCAGTAGTTTCCAGAGGAACTGGCTTCAATTCCCATCACCAACAAGGCAGCTACAATTGTCAGTAACTTCATTCCAGAGGATTCAATGCTATCTTCCAGTCTATATGTACAACATGTATGCTTATGGTGTTCACATACATGCAAGCAAAACACCCAAACATGTAAAAAAAAAAGAAAAAAACAAGTGCTATCAAACTATAAAAAGGCCTAGGGACACAGTGTGGCAGTCAAGACTAATTCTAGCACTTTGGAAGCGAAGGCAGAGAGATCTTACTTGAGGTCCGTCTGGGCTGTGTAGAGATCCCTGTCTCGAAAAAGAAAGAAAGAGGAAGGAAGGAAGAGAAAAGAAAAAAGAAAAGAGGGAAAGGGAAAGCAAGCAAGCAAGGTTGAAGGGTTATTTTAGCAGTGGGTCACATGTCCAGCATAAACAAGGGCATGTGTTCAATCCTAGCACAAAACCCAAATCAGTCCAAATACACAAACACACACATTCATAAATATATCTTGCCCCAACCTTACACATCAGACAAAAAGGATTTTACCATTTTATTAGATTAAAAAAAAAATAGCTCAAGCCAACAGAATGAACTAGGGAGGAATTAAGGAAAAACAGTGGCGAGGTCAGCAAGGACAGAGATCAGAAGCGGGGGCGGGGGGGGGGGGGGGAGCCGGGTCAGAAAAGGGGCTGTCTAGGGGTCAGGTGTCTATTTGATGACAATCTTCTGACGCAAGGCTCGGGGTCCAGAGCCAGGGAGTGGCTCGGGGGGTGGGGGCCCGGGGCCCAGTGCAGAGGCAGTGGGTGGAAGTCCATGGGCAGTGATGTACTTCTTGTACGCCTCTCGGATGATCTTGAAGGCTCTAGCAGTGGCATAGGGTATGTCTGTAACAGGGTCCCGGTACAAAGCTGGACGGTGGGTCACTGGGCAGACCTCCCGAACAGGGACTTTTGGGGGTCGCCCCTGAGGGAACCACTCTTCAAACGTTGCATCATCACTGAATGTGATGAAGGTGCGTGAGCAGTGAGCGGGCGGGGCGGCAGCTCCAGTCCCAGCTAGTGGAGTCAATGCAGAGGCTGTAGGAGCAGGATCAAGGCTGAGGACAAAGAGGAAAATCACAAAGGCTGAGGAAAAGGCTCTAGACACAAAGGAAGAGGCAGGCTGGGTGTGGTAGCTCACCCCTGTAACCTCAGTATTTAAGAGGCCAAGGGAAGATGATTTCTGAGTTACAAGCCACTGGAGACAGATTGAGTACCTGTTTTAACAACAAAAAAACTGGCCATGGGGCTGGAAAGATGGCTCAGCAGTTAAGAGCTGGGCTACTCTCCCAGAGGATATAGGTTTGAGTCCTAGTACCCAAACAGTGGCTCACAACCATCTGGAACTCCAGTTCGAAGGAATATGTTACCCTCTTCTGGCTTCAATGGGTACCAGGCCAGACATATATGCAAGCAAAACACTGATACACATTAAAATAAAATAAAATAAAATAAAATAAAATAAAATAAAAGTTGGGCATGATGATTCACATTTGTGATCCTAATACTAAGGAGGAAGAGACAGGCAGATCATGAATCTGGGACTAGCCTGAGCTACATAATGAGTTCTAGGCCAGCCAGAGCTACAGAGTGAGACCAGCTCAAGAAAACAAAACAACAGGAAGTGTCAGGAGCCATTCGTCTGCTTCTCTGAAGTAGAGTAAAAGTCTGCCTGCCAGGCAGAGTCAAGGCAGGTCAGGGTCTGCTGCCAGACTTCCTGCCTGCTACATAACCGTGAGGAGGAGAAGTACTTAAGGCTGAAGGCTCGGGAGTAAATATTCTATGAACCTTGGGGAAGGAACAGGGAGGCCTCCGGATGAGGACAGATATCCTATATAAATGGCAACAACTGTTTCTACGAGCTTGTCAGTTTTATATCCTGAGATACTATGGGGTATAGAAGGCTAGACTCATTAAACTTGGTACTACTACAGTACTCACTGACAGTCCTCCCAAATCTCTCTCTTGTCCTGTGTCTTCTGTCTTGTCTTTTCTTTAATCACCCTTACCCCCTACTGAATTTGTGCTAGCAGCACAAGGAAGGAATGAGCTGAGGTCGGATGTGCAGTGACGTAAGTGAGCTCTAAGAGAAGCCAGGGACATGGGGTTCACTCACCCTTCCACATCCACATTCTCCTCCTTGGGACCAGGCTCCCCAACAAGTGGCACTGTCACTGAATGGTAGGTGATTATTGGCCCAGGGCACTTCCGCTTCTTGTGAACCTGCTTCTTTTTGTCAGCCTCAAGCCTTTCATAGGTCTCTTTAGGATAAACGGGAGAAATGACAGAATGGTCAGTTTTCCTTTTCCCACACCCTGGCCTGTAATCTCTTTAAATTACACATATGTATTTACAAGAGTGTATGCACATGAGCACATGTGTGGAGAGGTCATAGGACAGTGTGCTGGAGTCAGTTCTGCTTCTATCCTGTGGACACCAGGAATTAAACTCAGGACAACCAGGCTGTCACCAAGTGGCTTTACATGCTAAGCTGTCACACCTCTCTGGGCTCTGTCCTGGGATTTTGTTTTTTTTTTCTTTTTTGTTTTTTTGAGACAGGGATTCTTTGTGTGTCTTTAGCTGTCCCGGAACTCAGAGACCTGCCTGCCTCTGCCAGTCAGGTGCTGAGATTAAAGGTGTATGTGCAACCACTGCCTGGCTGAGTCTACACTCTTTTTTTTTTTAAGGTTATTTATTACGTATCCAGTGTTCTGCCTGCATGCATGCCTGCGGGCCAGAAGAGGACTCCAGATCTCATTATAGATGGTTGTGAGCCACCATGTGGTATCTGGGAATTGAACTTAGGACCTCTGGAAGGACATCTGAGCCATCTTTCCAGCCCAAGTCTGCATTCTAAAAGGACAACAAAAACTAAGCGACTCTTCTTTTCAGGCATTTCTCTGTAACCCTTTAGCTACATGGCTGGCTACACCGTGTTCCTTGCTAGATCCTGTGGCACACTGTCAGTTCATTGTTGGTATAGCTGTTGCCTCATGAAGGGCAGCAGTAATTCACATTAGCCACGCTTTATCAGGACCATGCGACACTTAGCATGTTACAGGGACTCAATACATATCTGTTAGTGAATAAATAGATCATATCTCTGGTCCTTTACCTCTAAATGAACCACAGGTCTGTGCTGTTCCTCCATGTGGGTACTGTGGACAGTCCTCTCAAGTCTGGCCAGAGCCCTCCTGGAAATATCTCTCTGACTCATACATTTCCCATTAAAGTCAACGCTCCCATAATCCAGGCTGGCTGTGAATTCAATTCTGCTGCCTCTACCTCCCATATACTGTACAGATCACAGATCTCCACCACCATGCCTGGCCTATATTTGATATATGGCTTTCTGTCAAAAAACGAAAAACCAGCCAACCACACAGTTGTTATTTTACACCAACTGGATCTCAATCAAGCTGACATCCCTCCCCATAAACACAACCCCACCAAAACTCCAGAGAAGGATTTCTCTGTGTAGTTCTGGCTGTCCTGAAGCCATAGATCTGCCCGTCTCTGTCTCCTGGGGGCAGGGATTAAAAGTATGAGCCACCATGACTAGCTACTTAAGACACTCTTAATCGCATGGTCCCCTCTCCTATTACACACTCATTTCTTCTTTTTGTGTGTTTGTTTTCTAGACAGGAACTGGTAAGGCACTAGATCAGGCTACCTTTGAACTCCCCAGTGCTGGGAATATAAAGTACAAACTTTCTAATTATTTTGCTTCAA